GCGTCCGCGGGCCAGGGCAGCTGCTGCGGTGGGGCCGGGAGGGCAACTGGCCCTGCGGGGACCTCCGGTCGGGCCTCCCTCTCCTCCCTGATGGCTTGGATTACCAGCTGCGGGATTGCTTGGATGACCTCCTCCAGCGTCCGCTGCATTTGCCGTCTCTCTCGATCCGCCACCTCCATTCGCTGGGCTAGTTCCAATCTTTCCTCCGGGGACACCCGGCCACTTCTCACCTTCATCCTCTCCATCACCCATGCCCCGGATAATGGCTCGAATGGTGCCCCAAAGGGGGGGAATCCCCCTGCCCCGGAAAACCCCCAATCGAATCGTCTGTCTCTCGGTGGTCCCTGCATGAGCATATAAGTCTCGGCAGTAGAGTCCGGGTGAAACTGACTCCAGCTGGAGCTTGGCTGATAACCATGGCCGGGCGGCTGCCTTGGCCCCGTTGGGGTCAGAAACACCAGGGTCGATGTCATCTTAGGAACGGCTCCCACGTCAGCTGCAGTTACCGGCGGCATGGTAGTCACCGGCAATGTCGACTGGGTCATGGGGGTCCCCTGACTGGTCGTGATAGGAGTTGGGGCCCCCCCGGAGTAGTCTCTCAGGAATCAGTTTCTCCTCTCCATCGCTCATCTCGGTTGTAGAGAGATGCACAAAGATAGAAAATGGAGGATTCTTAACAGAATGTCAGAACCCACAGCCAACAACGAAGTACACACATTCAGGAACGGTTATATTTTTATTGCAGAGCTATAGATGCAGTAACATAGGCACTGTTAAGAATGGCAGCGGCCCCATGGGCATAACAGGATATAGGGTATTCGTATGCACCCCCCACACACACACAGTACTGGCCAATTAGGCACCCTCCTGCGCGCGGGATAAGGCTTAGAGACCGCTAGGTAGCTGAAGCTGAGAACGAACACTCTCCCATGACACCTAGGGAAAATCCAGACACTACATCACCCTCCTGCACATCTGTATAGATAAGCATTTCAGCGCACAGCAGAGAAAGCACAGAAAGGAATGCAGTAGCAATTAACCTGAAAGGAAAGCAATAGCAATTAACCAGATACAGACCAAACTCCCCAACCTTCATGGCAGCATAGCTGACAGGGGGGGGGACTTTGTGGCATTAAGAACATAAGAACAAAAGAGACGCCAATGTTAGATCAGGCCAAAGGCCCATCCAGTCCAACACTCTGTATCACACAGTGGCCAGAAATACCAGTGCCATCAGGAGGTCCACCAGTGGAGCCAGGACATTAGAAGCCCTTCCACTCCCATTGGGCCATGCTGAGACCCCTCCCCTCCTCAAACCCCGCCCTCTCCTGGCTCCATCCCCAAAGTCTCCAGGTATTTTCCAACCCAGACCTGGCAACCCTAGCAAAGCCCTAGGGTAAAATCCCATGGAAGGGAACTGGGAGGACAAGTTGAACTAACCCCCCCTGCCTGGGGAAGCAAGGGGATGGATGGCCGGGGTCTGAGGCCATGTGCATGGCGGGACCCAGGCCAAGCAAAGCCCGATAAGCCAGAGACGCCTGTGTGGAAGCAACTGCATCCAGCCAAGGCCACCAGACAATCCATGGCGGGGCGATGCTGAGATCGTTGGCAAGCCATGCCATGCCCATACAGCAGTGGCCACCTCAGGCCGAAGGTCACAGGATCATCTGATGGGGGAGCAGGCATCACATGCACAAGGCCGTGGCTGTGGCAGAGGCCCCAGGGCACCCAGTGACCACTATAGCCGGAGATGGCCCCCCATGAGGCACAGCTGCCTACGCCTGAAGGCCACTGGGAGAGGAACGCCTGGCTGCCTATTTCATAGAATCATAGAGTTGGAAGGGATCTCCAGGGTCATCTAGTCCAACCCCCTGCACAAGGCAAGAAATTCACAACTACCTCCCCCTCCACACCCGCAATGACCACTGTTCCATCCCCAGAAGATGACAAAAAACCTCCAGGATCCCTGGCCAAATCGGCCTGGAGAAAAATGGCTTCCTGGCACCAAAGTGGCGATCAACATTTCACTGGGGGTGTAAGAAAGCTGTGTGCTTGATGGGAGGACTAGGCCCCCGATCTGTGGAAGAAACTGCCAAAGAATGCCACCCCCTATGGGCCAAAGCACAGTTGCCACTTGGGGGGGAGGCACAAATATGGTGGCAGCCCGGGCCCCTGGCAGGCCCCAGCAGAGGATCCTCTTGGGCCCTCCACATCCAAACGCCAACCCCTGCGGCCATCCGGGACAGCACCCCCAGAGCTGCGGGCCTAGTAGAGAGGCATGTGACCTCGACTTGGAATCCTGAGCATGAATGTGGCTGCGGTGGCTCCCAACTTCCCAGTGAAGCTACCACTGAAGTAGGGTTGCCAAGTCACTGACTAGCTTTAGCGGGGGAGCGGTGGTCCCACTCTGGGACATTTGCGTGTGGCGCTGCTATGACGTCACCCGGAAGTGACCCGGAAGTGACGTCATCATGCTGGGCATGTTGCCAGGTAACGCTCTAGCAATCAACCTGAAAACTCTATGATACCATAGAATCATAGAATGTTAGAGTTGGAAGGGACCTTGCAGGTCATCTAGTCCAACCCCCTGCACTCTGCAGGAGCATAGCTAAAGATAGCCCTACATACCTACAACATACCTAAAAGATGGTCGTCCAGCCTCCACTTGAAAACGTCCAGTGAAGGAGCATCCACCACCTCTCGAGGCAGCCCGTTCCACTGCTCAACCACTCTGACAGTTAGGAAGTTTCTCCTGATATTTAGCCGGTAACCACTCCCTTGTAATTTCCACCCATCAGATCTTGCCTTGCCTTGCAATCCGGAGCAAGAGAGAATAGATATGCTCCATCTTCTACATGACAGCCCTTCAAATACTTGAAGACGGCAATCATGTCCCCTCTAAGCCTTCTCTTTCCCAGGCTAAACATACCCAACTCTTTCAGTCTTTCCTCATAAGACTTGGATTCCAGCCCTCTCATCATCCTGGTTGCCCTCTTCTGAACATGCTCGAGCTTGTCAACATCCTTCCTAAAATGTGGTGCCCAAAACTGGACACGGTACTCCAGGTGAGGCCTGACCATAGCAGAATAGAGCGGAACTACCACCTTCCTTGATCTGGACACAATGCTTCTGTTAATGCATCCTAAGATTGCATTAGCTTTCTTCACAGCCACATCGCACTGCAGGGTCATGTTTAGCTTGTGATCAACCAGAACATCTAGATCCCTTTCACATGTGCTGCTGTCAAGAGTTTTCAGGGTGATTGCTAGAGCGTCACCCGGCGACATGCCCAGTGTGATGATGTCACTTCTGGGTGACATCATTGCGCCGGGCACATCGGCCCAATCCGGCCACTTCGGGGATGGGGTTTTACCCACCGGCTGGATCCGGACAGGCGAATTGGGGGCCCTTTGAGTGGGGGAATTCCTGCCCTCCTGGGGGGGCTGGCACCCCTACACTGAAGTGAAGGGGTTCTGCTTGACTACTGCAGATGAGGTTGTTCCGCCATGCTGAAACCACAACAGGAGTGCTCCGTCATACCATTTGCTTGTGCGCCGGATAAGAGCCCTGAACGGGCTGGTTCCGGCCCCCGGGCCTTATGTTTGACACCCCTGCTCTAGAACAGTACCTCTATCATGTCTGGATTCCAGCTAGTTCTGCCTTTGCCACCTCAGGACAACCTCAAAGCACTGGTCCAATACTGTGGGGAAATCTGCTTATACTGTTACTTTTAAAGGAGGCTGGAGACCCTAAGGAGGAAACTGAATGCTGATCCTGCATTTTAAATCTATTAGGGGGTCGCGCTGACACTTGCACAGAAGGACCGTGTGATCACAGCCTATATAAGTCTTTGCACGAAACAAGCAAGAGTTACCCAGGCTGTTCTTTGCCCGAAACACAAACTAGATAGAACCACAAACTGGTCAAAGGGCTCCTTGTGTAGTCCAGAGCGATGCTTGACTCTATTGGAAAGTTTAATCTTTTGCCCTCCTGCCTGTCTGGTCTGAGGCAATGTACAGTTTGCTTGGTCTCTTAGCAGTAATGAACCGTTTCCCAAAATAGGGAAGGGAAGATATTGATTGGGAGAAAGGACATGTTGTTAGCAACATAGACCGCACGTCTCCTCTGCGTTCTGAGTGTAATCTCTGCTCCTCGCCCTGTGTGTTTTCTCCTAATTAATATCTTCCTTTTGGGAAACTTTGGAAATGACCCTGATTCTACCAAGAGATCTTCAGGAGTGCCAAAACATCAAGAGCTGGGGTGCTGAATGTCTTCTTTTTATTTTATTAAAATAGAAAACAATATAAAAATATTAAAAATAAAATTTTATTTTATTAAAGTACTAAAAATGTTAAAGAATGAAGCCAGGGAGGTCTACCTGGTCATGACTGGGCTCATAAAGGGAACTGATCCTTCTGATAAAGAGTCCCCTTCAATGCTCCCTCTAAGCTGTGGCATCTTGTGACCAAAAATTCTACTTTGTGAGCTCCTGGCATTAAAGTTATGAGCGAGCAATTTGGCTGCTGCATAAATTTGTTTGCTCTGGAGCCCTCCTTCCTGAGCTAAAATGAAAATGTGTGAGCCAGAGGCTAAAAATCTGTGAGCTAGCTCACACTAACTCAGCTTAGAGGGAGCACTGGTCCCCTTCGGCTAGCACAGGGGTGGCCAAACTGTGGCTCAGGAGCCACATGCGGCTCTTTCACACATCTTGTGCGGCTCCTGACAGGGCGGCCAGGGAAGCTAAATATCATTAGCAAACAAAATATCGTTGGAATATCTGCTTTTACCGCTTTTGTTATTATTTTGGCCAGTCTCATTTAATGTTAATAAAAAGCAAATTGGCATATTTCCCAGTAAAAACGTAATATTTGTTCACGTCTTACGGCTCCCAAACATCTGACGTTTATTCGATGTGGCTCTTAGGTCAAGCGAGTTTGGCCACCCCTGGGCTAGCGTCAAGGGTGAAAGCAATCTTCCTCATGGATGTTTTGTGTAAACAGGCACCCCCTGTGGCTTCAGAACCTCTGGCCTTTGTGGTTCTTTCCGTCGAAGGCTCCTCGATCCACTTCCTCGAAAGGAGGTCTGTGGCCCTCCGGAAGAGAAGCACAGCGATCTTTATCCAGACGGATAAGCCAGTCTATAAACCGGACCAAAAAGGTAAGTGAAGAACACATCACAGATCACAGGAGGGAGTAGACAACTGCTGGTATTTCTTCAAATGCTCGAAAAACACACATCCACCAGGTCCAAAACACCTCTACAGCAATGCTCTCTCTAAGCTGTGGAGTCTTGTGAGCAAAAATCCTACTTTGTGAGCTACTGGCATTAAAGCTGTGAGTGAGCAACTTGGCTACTGCATCAATTAGTTTGTTCTGGAGCCATCCTTCCTGAGCTGAGACAAAGATGTGTGAGCTGAAGGTTAAAATACTGTGAGCTAGCTCACACTGACTCAGCTTAGAGGGAACACTGCTCTACAGGCTCCAATATCTGTGAGAAAGTTTCTGGAGGTCTAAAACCAGTGGATGAAACTGTCACTTGTTCTCACACCTGTGACAGGCGTGAGAAAGTGCAGTCGCTATGGTAACTGGGGCACCTCCACATTCACTCCAGGGTACCCAAACAGCTCTCCAAATTATCCTGGTCTGACTTTTCTGCCCTTCTGAGACTTGTGGGTGCAATTGGTTGCTAGCTGATACTGATTTTGGTATAATGCTGCCCCGGGCAAAAATTCGGGCTGCAGTGGCATCAATACGTCCAGTGTCAGTGTGATTTCTGTTGTCCAAGAACATGGGGGGTGGGGGTCACTGGATTATTTGAAATAAAGAAAGTTTGCCAGAACGTTGTGGGGAGATTACAGAGATCGAAACTCTGACTCTGAGGCTTCACAGTCATCACAGAATAAGGAACTGTCAAGAGTCACCTCTCCCATGTAATAGAGCTGCGTCACTGTTATAGTTTTGGGGAAATGGAACAAGAGGCTGGGAGACGAGATAAGCATTTCCGGTAGGAAAATTTGCTCTGAAACAGAAAGTCCATTTGCAGCCCTGTAGACTGGTGTTGATGGCCGTAAAGAAGTCATTGTTCTCTGCCACCAGTGTGCAGAATCTTCACCCAAAGAGTGACTAACACAAGGAATTCACTGCCACAGGAGGTGGTGGTGGCTACAAGCATGGACAGCTTCAAGAGGGAATTAGATAAGCATATGGAGCAGAGGTCCATCGGTGGCTATTAGCCACAAGGTCTAGATAGGGACTCTGGGGCAGGTGATGCTCTGTATTCTTGGTGCTTGGGGGGGGGTCAACAGTGGGAGGGCTTCTAGTGTCCTGGCCCCACTGCTGGACCTCCTGATGGTACCTGGTATTTTTGTCCACCGTGTGACCCAGAGTGTTGGATTGGATGGGCCATTGGCCTGATCCAACATTGGCTTCTCTTATGTTCTGTCTTATGTTCTTAATCTCGTGTAGTTCAGTTGCACACAGTGGCTCAAGACCCATTAGCATCTAGGTCTGTATCCCTGGGAGAGGACAATTCAGCAGCTCCACATTGTGAAGCGTTTCGAGATCCTTTTTAGAGGAAGCAGTGCAGATACAGTTTAGCCCTCAGAGATGTGGATAGCATCCACCTGTCAACATCGTATGGAGAGTTCTGCTTGCTCTCTTTCACTGACGTTTACAGGATCTTTGGAGATGTAAAAGCCCTAGGGCTGCCAGTTCTGCATTGGGAAATAACCTGGAGATTTGGGGTGTGAAGTCTGAAGAGGGGGGGTTGGGGGAGGGGAGGTGCTTCAGTGGGGTACAATGCCATAGAGTCCACCTTCCAAAGCAGCCATTTTCTCCAGCAGAACTGATCTCTGTTCTCTGGAGGCCAGTTGTAATTCTGGGGAATCTCCAGCCACCCCCATGAGCATGGAAAGAATCTGTTTCATTCGAGTGGGAAGAATGTTGAGTGTTAATTCACAGATTAGAATTGTTGACGTGTAAATTAATGTGATTTACGCAGCACACTGAGAAAAAGCTGTCATGTGAAACGGGAGTATGTGCACATTCCGTAGTGTGTATGCATACGTCTCGGAGACAGTTTGGTGTAGTGGTTAAGTGCGCGGACTCTAATCTGGGAGAACCGGGTTTGATTCCCCACTCCTCCACTTGCACCTGGCTGGATGACCTTGGGCAAGCCGTAGTTCTGTCAGAGCTGTCCTTGAAAAAAAAAAGCTGTTTCTGTCAAGAGCTCTCTCGGCCCCACCTACCTCACAGGACGTCTGTTGTGGGGAGGGGAAGGGAAAGGCGTTTGTAAGCTGCTCTGAGACACCTTTGGGTAGTGAAGGGCGGGGTATAAATCCAATCTCTTCTCTTCTTCTTCTTCTTCTTACTTGCTGAAGAAACACTACTCACTGCAAAACAGCAGTCTAAATATATTTTCATAATACTACATCCCGGTTGTTTTCATCATTGTTTGCATCCTTCCGGCAATCCCTCTGCTGTTACCACCTGGCAACTGGCAACTTCCTCTCCATAAATTAGGGCGGTGACCTGCCTGGCTTGTAAAATCTTGCCAGGGTGAGCGAAACGCTCCTGTTGGTTGCCGCAATTGTCGACCCTGTTGGCGGAAAGCAGGTTGTCAAAAAATACAGAAGGGAAGTTGTTGTGAAGCCGTCTTTTCTGGCAAAGAGCATGAGTAGAAAGCCAGGACGGGAAGAAACTATAAACCAAATATTTGGTATATCTTTCCTGGCAAGACAGCATCTGACCAGTTACAGAAGTGGCCCCAACTTCCTTTTTTTGGGTAAGGCTTTTGAACTGATGATCTCAGTGACGCAGCCATTGGCTGCCAACCTGCAAGAGAAGGTAGGATAGAGAGGAAGGCATCACACTGACTGCACAATACTTGGAAGTGATGTCACATCACTAGCATGATGCCAATGCAACACTCTGGGTGCGGTCAGACGACGTGCTGGGAGCGGTTTAAATTGCTCCGGCCTCGATGCGGTCTTTTTTAACCTGGAGAATCGTGATCGCACTCACCTCCTTGCTCTGGATCGCTGCGCAGCCACATCGCTCCCTGTCGTCCACACGCGGGAGCGTGCGTCAGTGTTTTTTCCCCCTCCTCTCTCTGTTTGGGCATGCGCACAGGCAGCCATCTGTAGAACTAAAATTTTCACATGTGCGCAGAACAGCGATTTCCACTTCAACCCGACTGCTGTAACACTTCCCTTTAAACTTTAAAGGAACACTTCCCTTTAAACATTTACCCCGAAAATGGCCTCCATGAGATCTCGAACTCATCTAAAGGCTAAAACTAGGCACCGTTTAAACATTATTTTTAAAAACGTGGTGGTGGAGCTCCGCCTACGCGCACACCGCAACACTTTAAAAAAAGGTGGCCGAAAAGCGGAAGCCTCAGGCAGCTTTTGAGTGGGGAGGGGGTTTAAACCAGAAGTGGCTCGACACCAGAGGAGCCATCACAGGGGGGAAATGCGACTGGAACTGGAGAATCAGGAAAACACCACTTGGGGACCTGGTATCAAAATACTCTGGGTTAAAGCAGTTTTGAGCCGGAAGGCAACAGCTGGGGAAGGGAGGCAGATGTTGACTGTGTGATCGCACAGATAAAATCCGTTTCTGAACTGGCACGACACCAGATAAAATGGCACATCTGACCGCACTATCTGGGACTCAGGTAAAGCTCTATGGTGGTATGGCGCCACTTTTTAGAACGTTTTTCCCCTGCCAACCTGGGAAGGACAGGAACCTCTGTGAGGTACAGTGCCACAGAGTCCACCCTCCAAAGCATCCATTTTCTCCAGGGGAACTGATAGGGTTGCCAATCTCCAGGCGATGTCAAGGATGAGAGATCACGGGAGAGGCTGAACTTTGTGAGGAAAAACAACCATGACACAATCAGGAAACCTTGTTAGAGGAAAAAAAGATCTTCTTTAATTATCCAGTGAATGACAAATCATAAAAGGTGTTTTCTTTGAAGTAAATTGGTCTCAAGTTTTTCTTTCTGAGGGTACAGCGCTCAGTGAACCGTTTCACGCAAGGTTTTGTATTTTTTCTACTCCCTCTTCCTTTCTATATTACATCATTTGGTTATGTGAAAAGCAAATATGTGCAACTGAAGCAGTCTTGAAAGAATTTTAGGGGGCAGCACATAGCTGCTTTCCACATAATCAAATGATGTAAGCTAGAAAGGAAGAGGGAGTCGGAAAAAATACACGGTATAAGGTCTCATCTGATGAAACCTTGCGTGAAACGGTCCACTGAGTGCTGTACCGTCAGAAAGAAAAACTTGAGACCAATTTACTTCAAAGAAAACACCTTTATGATTTGTTATTCGCTGGATAATTAAAGAAGATATATTTTTCTCTAACAAGGTTTCGTTATCATATCACAGTTGTTTTTCCTCACAAAGTTTTTTTTTTAATTTATAATTTTTATTTTCAATAACAACCAAAACAACACAACTTAAATAACATAGTTTGTCTGACTTAGAACAGAACAGAAACCTTTATTGGCATAACACAGATAACAGTTTGTCTGACTTTACATGACTTGCATATTAAAAAAGCAATAAAAGCATTTAAAAGAGCATTTATACAAAGCTTATATGTGTTTTCATGACGTTTTTTATCATTTATTCAGGTGTCTTAACAACCTAGCCTATTATAAACTCAACCTTCCCTCCCCCCACCCCCAAAAAACATTTCTAAACGTTCTAAAATCAACATAAACGTAGGAAATACTGGAACCAGCTTTACATAGCTGGTTAGATAGCCCAATGCTATCACCTGTTTCCCTAAAACTAGGAGCTACAAACTTTTACAACTCCCCCCGTTCCCCCTTCCCCAGTCATATTAAAGCATTTCAAACTACCCATTCAAAAGCATACAATATGTTTCCATTGTGTAATAATTATAAAGCTTATCTGCTTCCAGTATATACTGGAAGTTTGCTGGATTTCAATGGAGACAATGGAAATAAGTTTCTTCTTTTAAAGGATCTTTTACCTCCCTCTGGTTCCATTGGAGTTTCTGTTTGCAGAGCTTGCATTAGCTTTCCTCACAAAGTTCAACCACCAGGTGATGGCTGGCGATCTCCCCCTATGACAACTGATCTCCAGGCAACAGAGATCAGTTCACCTGAAGAAAACAGCCACTT